ATGCTGAAAGCCAAAAGAGCACTCACATGTTACCCCCAACAAAGCAACCACTCACCACCCCCACCAGTGCCCCAAATTGCTCCTGCCCTGTGGGGCTGAAGAGAAGCTGAACTGACCCAAATGAGGGGCAGCCAACACCAGGCCTGGTTGTCACTCCTCAGCCAGGCAGAGCCACCAGCACCTCAGTTTCTGTGGCTTTGTGAACACCCCAACACAGCTTCCCCCTCTCCACCTGCCCCCAGGAAGTTTATAAAATAGGGGGTTTATCTTTTCCTACAAAGACAGTGTGGAATTTCCTTTGCAACAGCAGAACAGTCTCCCTGCGAGGTAGAGAGTTAATTTCAGGGCTGACAGATCCTAAATTCAAACCAGTTTGTTCTAGTTGAGGTAAAATTCAGTAGTTTATAGTAGGTTTTGCAGTGCCAGAGGGCCATCAAGATTCCTCATTGCCGGAGTCATCCTCATCACCGTAACAGCTCTCTGCTTCCTCCTCCATCTCATCATCCTCATAATAGTCATCATAAAAGAGGTCAGAGCCCTCATCTGGGGCTGGAGTCTTGGTCTTCACACAGTACTCAGCCAGCGTGGTGGGGACCTTCACTCCGTCCCGCTCGGCGTCCACCTTGGTGCCCAGCACCTGCTTCCTGGAGGGTGAGAAGTGGGGGGTGAGAACAGAGCTCTGCACCACAGCCCTCCAGAGCCCTCCAGAGCCCGTGTCCCACAGGATCCCAGCACAGCAGTGCTGCAGGGCCAGGCTCAGCACGCACCTGATGATGTCTGTGTACTCCCGGTCCCTCCCTTTGCTCTCCTTCCACTTGCGGTACATCACGGAGGCGTCCACGTTGGCTGGGGAAAACGTGTTGGGCTCATTCAGCAGCGAGATCACGCTCAGCAGAATGGTTCTGGTGTGGATCAACATGGACAGGTCAGAGCTGAGGCGGCTCAGCAGCACCCCAGCAGTACCAGCAGCCCTGCTCTGTCCGTGGGAAAGCCTTGTGCTGCCCACAGCAAGAGAGGTCCAAACAATCCCACAGCCTGAGAGCCTTCACCAGCCCCCTGGCACCTCCTGCAGGCTTTGGGAGCAGGAGGCTGTCCCCACGCTCCCTCCTTGCCCTCCCTGCCTCAGGGTGAGCCCCCAGCCCTCACCGCACGTTCTGGGTGGGGTTCCAGCGCTCCGACGGCAGCTCCCCGCTCTGCGGGTCATCCACGGGCGGGTGCAGGATGGAGATGCAGACATCACCTGTCTGAAAGCACAAGAGAAACAGGATCCTCAGGAGCTGCTGCCCCAGGATCTCCCCGCTGCCTCCTCTCCTGCTGCCCAGGATCTCCTCCCTTTGGCTGAAGCCAGGTGAGGAGACCCCAGCTGTCCCTTCAGTCCCATAGGAGGGACACAAAAGTGGACAAGCACCCCATGACTGCCAGCACTGCGCAGGTCAGGCTGCCCAATGCCCAGCAGGCTGTGCCCCTGGCGTGGGCCCCAGGGCCAGGCTCGCCCTGCAGCCACTCTTGGCATAGGCACAATGTCCCCAAGCGTGGGAGCCACCAGGCCTGCAAAGCCTGGCTGAGCTGGAACCTGCTCTGGGACAGCAAAGAAAGGGCTGTCGTGAGCTCATTAGCAGCATTCCCTGTGCCAGGCACTCATCACCAAAGGCACTGAATGTCCAGTGTCAAAGGCTGGCATTTGCATCCAGTGCCATCACAACAGAGGCACACGTGTCCACTGAGTGTCCAAGAGCCCCCTCGCTGTGCCAGGGGTCCTACCTCATAGATATTGGGGTGCCACATCTTGGTTAGGAACCTGAAGGCAGGAGGAGAGTAGGGGTAGTCGATGGGAAACCGGAGACGAGCCTGCAAGGGAACAATAAGGAGATGTGAACACCAGCTTGTGAGAAGGAAGGGATGGAAACATGGAAACCACAGAGCTCTGGGAAAAAGGAACCTCTGCCAAGCCCAGCTGGGCATGTGCTGGGACAGAGCCTCTGCACCAGCTGGCTCTGTGGGCAGGACACCGGCCCCAGGGCCAGCACAGACACCAGCCCCGGGTGACACTGTTGAGTCAGGGATGAAAAACAGACTCCAGTCTTCAGGTGGATCAGAAGGCAAAAGCGTTTAATGAAAGCAGTGGGTAGTTTATAACGTGACTTGCTAAGGTGGTACTTGATTGGTCTGAAAGTAGAAACATCTCACTGTTGGTGAACTATGAATAGCACACTCTGGAGAACCATATCTATAAACAACAGTCACAGAAAGAGAGATAATAATTGGTTTATTTTTTTCCTCTAAGATTCCCAGGCTCAGCCTGGGAGAAATTCTCTGTTCTTTCTTAGACTGAACTGAGAATATCCACACCCAGGGGCACCCTCTCACCACACAGAGTGGGGTGAGGAAAGGGGCTGTGACCAGCAGCAGCTCCTTGCCCCCCATCCTGCCCATCCCCTCCTGTCCAGCAGGGCCCTCTGGTGCTAACCCAGTGCTCTCCAGTGCAGAGGAACCAGCAGGAGCTCACGGTGTTGGCACCCAGCACAAACCCCACAGCAGCACACGGAGCCAGGCAGAGAGCCTGGGTCACCCCCAGAGCTGCTGTCAGGGCCAGACCACGGCCGTGCCACTGAGGGAAAGGCTGTTTACTCTTCAGAGCTCACAGGAAGGAAGCATCAGGTGTTTGGTGCTCTGATGAACACACCAAATCTAAAAATAGCCTGTCACTGCTGAGAAGAGACCCAGTCCAAACTGGCCGCAGCGCGCAGCTTGGGGGCTAAAAATAAAATCACATGAAGCTCAGGCTGCAGCCCAGGGCTCCAGCAGGGATACTCAGCCACCACCAGCTCCTCCCACAGCTCCAAACCCACGGGGCTGAGGCTGGGCAAAGAGGGGCTCCCTGTCCATCTCTGGGTGCAGCCTGAGGGGGCACAGGGACCTACAGCAACATCCCACAGTCCTCAGAGGAATGCCCCAGCCCACCAGCACCAGGAATCCAAGAGGATGGGGGCAGCTTCTCCCCGAGTGGCTGCACAACTTCCCAGTGACTGATTCAGCTTTCAGCTGTTTCCAGGCCCTGGGAGCAAACTTCCAGATCAAGACTCAACATGACAACTCGCTGAACGCTTCTTGCTCCCTCAGTTCACGTACAAGAGAATCCAGACACTGGATTTGTGGCACAGGACAGGGGGTGGGAAGAGGGAAAAGCGCAGGGGGGCCGTGTTGTGTGTGTGGAGCGCAGGGCAGTGACACTCAGCCCCGTGCTGGGCTCTGGCCAAACAGCTGAACGTGGCAGAATAATCCCCTTTGTTGTGTCAGAGGGGATCAGAACAAAACCAGCCAAGGCCAAGCGATGCCAAAGGGGGCTTGGACAGCAGCAGCCCCACCCTGCAGTGTACAAACAGCATGGTGACCCCACGGGCTGGGGAAGACTCGGCCCCTCTGCTCTCCTCTTGTGCACAGTCTCACCAGCACCCTCAGTGCCGAGTTTGGAAGCTCTCAGCACACAACAGGAGCACGAGTGGCTGAAAGGGTGAGAGTTCAGAGGGTCCCATGCTAAAATGTTATGGGGAAAAAAATCCCTCCACTTCAGTGAAGAGATGAAGCGTGGCTCTGAAGCGTCAGCTTTGCCAGCCCAGGAAAACAAACACAGCTAACCCTGGGTGACTCACGCCGTGCATCCCCACCCTGACAGCAACAGGATGAAAACACACCAGCTCCGTGGAGGAGGGAGGATGAGAAAGAGGAAGAAAACAGCTACCCCAGGTTGCACAATACCTGGGAAGAGCACACACACATCCTGCCGAGGGGGGACTGTGCAGTCCGGCTGCCAAACACCTCAAACCCCAAACCAAGCCACGACACCCACTCCCCAGCCCAGCTCCTGCTCCCACCCTGGGCTGTCTGTCTGCTCTCGGGGCACTTTTGTCTCTTCCCTCCGGTCTGGTGGCAATGCCCTGGATCCCCTCCAGGAGAGGGAACCTCCGCGACCTGGAGCCCGCTGTCCTGCACCCTCAGACCGGGGGACAGGGGGGTGGCTGAGGTCACCCCCAAGGGGACCCTCGGTAGTTTGGCAGCAGCCACCTGCGCACCAGCTCCGTGCCAGGAGCACCCCGAACCCCCAGAGACCCCCAGGGAAAGACCCAATCCCCCCTCAACACGCCGGGAGCAGCTCTGCCACGACCCCCACACCCACCCGGGACACCCCCCTCACCCACAGCCCCCTCACGCGGTCTCACCCCTTCCGAAACTCTTCCCAAAACACGCAGCACATCCCCCGACACCGCCTGCTCCCAGCCCCGTCTCCCCCCACACCCCGAGCCTCCCCCGCCGCTCACCTTGAAGTAGCCGCCCTCGTAGTGCGTGTCCGGGGGGCCGAAGATGGCCACGTCCCAGGTGTACAGGTCCCCTTCGTCCACCAGCCGCACGCGGAACCCCTCCACGGGCTCCTCCTGCAGCCCCTTGAGCTCCAGCAGCAGCGCCTTCTGCGAGCTGGGCACGGCGGGCCGCGCCATGCCGGGGCTCTCGGGGGCGGCGGCGCCGGGGGCACGGCGGGGCTGCAGTCCCGGGAGGGGCGTGGCCAGCGCGGGCGCCGCCCC